TTCTGTGACCACAAATAACGATGATAATCACAAGTGGATTAGCTTGACTAATATAGTATCTAAAGTCCTAGGCTCATTATTATTGAGTAGACTAAGTGGTGTTCGGGAGGCACAAACACGAGAGAACCAGGCAGGCTTTAGACAAGGAAGAGAGTGTGTTGATCATATCTTCATCCTTCGACAGATTCTAGAACATAGTCATTCCTACCGGCGTCCAACAATCGTCATATTTCTTGACCTAAAGGCTGCATTCGATCCCGACCACTGAGAGGTATACTGTGAGAAAATAAACTGCATTAATCAAGGTACTCTACTCGAACTCATGCAGTCAGCCACGTATGAGCCTACGGAGAGTTGTCATAATAAGGTGAGCAATATTGATTTTAGGCGTCGATTACTGGGTAAGGAGGGGAAATCATTCGAAGAGGTTGTGAAGTTGTATTGATTTAGATGGTTAGGACATGTGCTACGCATGCATTCCTAGACACCGTCTTCCTCGACGGGCAGTGTTAGCTGACATAGGATGGATCAGGTTGGAAAAGAGCTAATGGTGGTCGAACCAAAACACAGCCTCATCGGTCAATGAAATCCACAACAGCTAGTGTAAGCAACGTAGGGATGTGTAAACTCCCGACTAGTTGAAGATTTCTGGCTGGAGACAATCGGTGGTATTGCTCAAAATCTTTCTCAGTGGCGCAGATGCATCAATTACATGTTTCTGTTTATTATCTCTTTCTTTTGAATCTTTCTTCTTTTACTTTATGTGTTACATGGAAGGCAACCCGAAATAGTGCACATTTGTGCAAAGTTCTACGTTGAAACCAGCCATGACTTGAAATTAGTGTTGAAAATCCGAATCTTATTCTTAATTTGTAGTGCAGATGATTTTAGAGTAGTGAATGTCTGTCTTGCTTGTTAGTTGAGACGATGCTGCCTAGATAAGTGAACGGAGTGACTTCCTTCGAATTTCTCCCGTTGACAGTGATTGGCGCCTGTTGTTGTTGGTGGTGGTGGTGATGATTACTTGATATCATTCATTTGGTACATGTTACACTTCTATATTTATATGGTTAACCACGATTAAAGGTGGGATAAAATCTTGGATAGCGGCAATATGTGAACCAGTGGTCTCCAGATTACCATCCTAACATCATGTTGACTGACCTATGAATCTTAATGGTTGCACTTGTGTTCTAACTGAAGCTTATACTCGACTTTTAACTGTGACTTATATACAACCAATCTGTCAGCTTGTCAGAAAGTCTCAGTAGCCATAGTCTTAAGAGTGAGTGACTTTTTATATACGTTTATACAGTTATAGACAGTGGTAGTATTCTGAGGGACAATTCCTGCCTTGCAAGTATATTTTTTGTTCTTTAAACTCTGAAAGTTCTCACCCACTGATGGCTCATAAGTAATATTAAAGATGTTTTCCCAGATTGCAACTAGCCATTCAAATACATTAGGACAATTGCGTTGGAAGCCTAGCTTACTCATAATGTGGTGTATTTCAAAGGCCTAATGACATGCCGGAAATATGACAGACGTATATTTTGTGCTCATATTTAGTTTGAGTGCTTATGCTTGTGTAAAATTTCAAAATGAGTTTCTCTACTGCCGAAGACTAAAGCTACGTGAAAAGTAACCGGATATGTTAAAGCCTTTGTAAGTAAACATACAGATATTAGTGAGCTAAATACTTTTATAAGAGTTTACACAATCCCAATGGACTTATAAAATAAAATTGTGCTCTTCATGTGGTTTAATACATCAAACATTTTCATACCATATGAAAAGTAGCTAATCAGTAAAAGTAATTTACGAACGAGTGATTTCTTTTATTTTGAATAATGACACCATATATCCTTGGTTTTTATAGGCGTTAACAAGTATCAAACAGAAATTCACATATATAACTAATCTGTCAGCATATGTGCTAGTGTTTAGGTTGAACTAGATATGTTTATCATCAAAACTTGGAAACCAGTAGTCATTAGACTTACATCGTTAGTGAACTTGTTCAAAAAGTTTATTCAAAGCCATCTCAAATTATATAATATTCCCAGCTTTATAACTAGATGTTAGGAATCAGTCGGTAGAAAACTATAAATAATCAAGGTTTTGTGCTCGCCAGCACCCACCATCAAAGCTTTCATATTTAAAAACTTGGTGAACCAAGTCTTATTCAGATTCAGTGATTTGCGAACAAGTCCTATGGCTGTTTACTTGTAACTCGAATAGCTTCACATAGGGATTTCGACAGTAAACGACATCAATTCAAACTGCAGAGAAAACGTTTCCTTAAGACCTTAGAATACCCTTATGCGCTTATTGGTAACAAGCATGGATTTGAGAAATAACAAGATTCCGCGTTGATTAATTTCCAATATCGTATACGAACTTATGGGATATCATAGTGTTTATTGGTCCAGTAACACAGCTGGTTGACAAATTTATGTCACAGTCAGGACTGAAATGACCTTCATCTGACAGCCAATTGATACAGATGAAACCAATCCCCCACGTTTTATTTCTGGTATACTGATATTGTAAACTCTAAACTTCTTTATAGTCTTCGATACTTTAGGAAGTAATTTTACCACTGTCAGTTGATATATCATTCATATCCAACTCATTATAGGGGCATTCCAGGGTAATTTTGTATGTTGGTATAAGTAGTGATTATAAGCTAGTTCAAAAAATATGTTTCTTTTCTCGCTTTTTGAAAAAATTCAAGCACCTTATTGTAGGCTAAAGTAACATGTGTATTTTGTTACTGACCTTATTATGCCAATGTAGGATTCATAGTTTCAATGAAATTCCCCCACACGTTATTCATTTTTCACTACCAATTGAAGTAACCTACATTATAGTACCACTCTGACTATGATCAGTAAGATAACCTTTAGTGCTTGCATTTACCTTTCCTTAAAATTTAGCATATGAATATTTATTTTTACGAGTTTGATTACGGATCGATATCATTTAGAGAACCATTGAAAACCAGGAAGTACTGGACAGCTGTTTCATCCTAGTTTGGGAATCACTCTGGGTTCGAACCCCAGTGGGTGCGTACTGTCCAGCTGTCCAGTACTCCCTGGTTTTCAATGGTTCTCTAACTGATATCAATCCATGGCCAAACCCGTAAAAACAAATTTAATCCTTACAAACCAACCCTTGAATATGAATATTTACTTATTAATATAACTATACCAATGAATTCTAAAAATTTATAGAAACTTATTTTCATCTTTAACATTGAGACAACACAACACAAAACCTCAAGGCATTCATATCTCGTTTGTACTGCTGTTGAAAACTTACACGTTTATCTCAGTGATACAATAGCGAGTATTCACAGCTCAGATTCTGCATTTAGCTGCATGAGTTTTAGATCTGCAGTACCTCTTACTTAAGTAATGAACTTGGCATATTTCTATATGTCCAAACCAAGTTCACTTTTAACAGTTTGAAAAAATTTTGGCATTGGGTGTATGCTATTCACTATAATAAGGGTAAAAACAATATCGTTTTGTTTTTTATTCATTGGGAAATACAAAAAAAAACCTTTGTTATAATGAATTGGTATATTTCTTATGAAGGAATACCACGGAACAAGCGAGAAGAACAGAATTAACCATTCGTGAACACATCGTTCACTTGATAAGAAATTATTTACACATACTATCGTATAATGTGTCAAATTTATTTCTTCACAAAATCGTATACCATAGAGGTTTCTCCGAGAAAATCAAAGCTCGGACAGTAACACAACCACATCATTAAGATATTATTTTTAATTATAGCTTGATTCCACACCATATTTTCGGTCCAAGTATGGAATTTTCAGCATATGATATTGGTAGCCCGAATTCGGCAGGCCGACCACTGATATCAGGTGAGCGTCGGCAAGGGATCGAACCCCGGACCAAGTGCATGGTCGGCGAGAGTCCTAACCGCTGTGCCATCGACTTATGACAGAGAGGAACTTATCTCTCCCCATCGTCTTACTATCCTTTTACATTGTCAATTGATGGCTCAATCTTCTAGGTGGTGGTACAAATCCAGAGTTAGGCTAATAGACAATAACGAGTTACGACTGCTTTTCATTCATGTTATCACTGTCATTACATAAATTATAAAGTAAAGAATATTTTGATGAAATTCTACTTGTATTGTACATCCCATTACAAGCACTTGAGGATTAAAGTATAAATAGAAGATGCATATGAGTACACTGCAGTGCATAAAACTGAAATACCAATGATGATATCAACTTTAATTAGTCACTGAATACAGCATCAAAAGCTTTGGCTGATTTCTGGAGATCTGTGTATGCAGTACAGTCCAGCAGTAGAGAGAATACTTCTCTAACTGCAGCTTTTGCAATGCATAAAAAAATTAATATGATATTATATGACCACACGAAATCAGCAGAAACTTAAGGACTTAGGTTTCGTGCTTATCGGTACTCATCAGCAACCTCGGAGAAACTGATATCCTCTCAAACATTCGAAGTCATCACACAATTTTTCTGATTCTGAAACATTCGAACTTAAAGTAAGCGCCCTGTGACTACACTGCAAACCTGACCAGTAGAATTCGGTCAGTATTAGGATCAAGACATACCACTCTAGTGTTCATTTAGTAAGGAATACTTACTTGTTTATCACTCTTATGAAGTTACTTGGAACCGTGTTCCTACCTTGATTTACACAGTTCTGAACTTGCTCGTTACTTTCAAACCTCATTTGACTTAAGTTATAAAATTTGTCTATGTCTTAGTGATGACTAACACTGAACTAACTGTTTACATTTACAAACTTGTCTCAGCATAGTATTGTTTCAACACAGTTGAATTAGTTACAATTATAATATAATGTATCGAACACTCCTACCTATATTTGTATTTTTTTAAGTACTGGTGTTGTCTAATGATTATTTGTCTAATTAAGTAACAATTTAATGGTATGTTAGAGGTTATCGTTTTAGTGGAGTCATGTTCATCACCTATCTAATGAATTTAGATCCTCAGAGTATTTGATTCCATTCAAGATGAGAAAAATGAATTCTTGGTATGAATTGATCTCAGTGAGTACATATGTGAGAATTATGAACTGTGTCATGCAATATACACAACTAACTAATTTGACTACTACTATCGAAACACTAGCATCAACTCGTAATTAACTTTATCCTTTTAGAATAGATTTCATCCAGAACTGATATCAGCTAGAGAATCATTAAAAACCAAGAACAACACAGCAGCTGTCCTACCCTGCCTTTGGACTCTTCATCAGTACGCTTCACTGGTCCAACCGAAAGCCTTCTCGTTACGAAATGAGCATGTTACTGTAAAGCCATTGAAACGGAACAATGGTTTATAGTTCATAACTCCTGTGTTTTCACGATACATTGCGCCAACGCCAGTTAGTGTCACTAGTGGGTATCTATCCTCACATCTGACTTAGTGCGCCAAACTGGAACAACTTCTTATTAGAACCACAATACTCCCTCGTCGCCTAACTGCCAGTTTGTCATGAACGCTATTTAGAAATCGGTCAAGTCCCTACAAGCCAAGATTTCAAAAATTCGTGAGAAACTAAGTTAGGACACTAAGGATTACAGCACTTTTAGCTTGATAGACTTCCCGACTTTAAGTATCTAATAGATGACAATGAATAAGTGCCTTCAATTTGTAACTCCGTTGATTAATTAGCATAAAAAAGTACATGTGAAAAGAGTTATTATCAGATAAGACTTACATGCCTTTTATCATCATTGGCACACTTTAATATATATTCTGATTGATGGATTCTAATAATTAAGTTTCCCATCTCTGTTATGTTCTCTCTTGTTTTAAAAGCTGACCAACGACTTGTGAGTCGTGTGTATAAAGAATATCGTCGTGAAAAACTGTGAATGTTCACCTAGTGATTTAAAATCGTATAGCAGAAATGATAAGTCGGCGATCAGTGAGAGAAATAGTATTCTCGATAAAATATTAGCCTTACAAAGTTTGACTATCATAAGCACTCACTGAAAAAATTTATTCCGTTTACACTTCAAGTTCACTAAAGCTTTTGACTTTTTTCCTTTGTATTTTGTTTTTCTCGTATCGTATAATATTTAAAATATGGACTACACTTTGTTTTGTCTTTATCTTCGGATGATTATTTTAATTATTCTTGATATATTTTTGTTCTATGAATTGTATAATGAATATACCTTTTTTTAGGAGAATAACCCTCTTCCTTGCCTAGCGGATAGAATTGAAATATTGAATGAACTTTTAAAGGATCACATTGCAGCTCAAAACTTAACAGAAGAGGATTACCAAACGATTGCAATGGAAACAAAAGGACTTTCAAAGTGTGAAATAGCTGAAGTTTGTCGCCATGCTGCTTTCTTGTGTCTACGTTCCATAAGCGATAATGAAGATACGTAAGCCGTAATTTTATCAAAATGCTAATTTTTATTTGAATGAATAATTTACGGTGATAGTTAAAATCAAATCGGTTATTTGCAGATTGTACATTTCAAAGTAGGAATTCTCTAGTTTCCTTTAGAAAGCCAAAATATTCACTACATGTGTTTTGTTTGGTTCTGTAGATGGTAACCTAGAGAGAAAACTAAATAGCAATGGAAAACGACGAGTGTCCGAGGCATGGAGAATATGGGCAATCGTCAGGCCAGATGAAGAGGACGTTCTACTTGGAACTCAAGGGAACAATACTATATTGCTGATTGACACGAATAGTTGGGAACCACTGACGTCAACCAGTAGTGCTTGCCGGTCATATAGAAATCGTTTAAGTACTAGAGGCTTGGTTTTCCATCTTTCTCTCGAGACGATAACCCGTGTACTCACTTAGACCCAGCCTGGAAAGCTGAATCAGTTTCTAATTCACATAGATCATTAGTGCATACCATGTTGTTGCAATAGGGCTCTAATGTACAGATTTCTAGCTGGTTATTGGTATAAGTATAAAACTTGGACACTGTGGTAGACCATAACTTCATTATGGATAAGATTTTATTTGATAAATCACAGTGTTGTACAGTAATATTAACTGGACGTTTCGAGCACAAACTATTGCTCATAATCATATAATATCTAGCTGGTTAGTTCATATAGTAGGTCGTTGTGATTAAAAAAGTCTAACCTATATATTTTTTTAAAATCAGCTTCATTTAACTGAATCTGACTTAAATGATTTTATTGTTATACCAAATATTAGCTTGGCTACTGTAACTCTGATTTTAATCCTTCCAGTGGACCAAATAATGTAGTTCTGCCACCTGAATTTTCATAGATAAAAGTGACAGAGGTTATTTATCACATAATTAGACTATTTTTAGTAGAATTAACATTGGTAATGATAAGCTTTACTGTCTAGAATGTGCGTTTCATCTGATTTGAAACCTATCGAATGAAACAAGGTGTTTTGACTGACTCACTAGTTCAGTAGTATTATAAGACATCAGTACATGAAGTCCAAATGTCAACACAGGCGCTTCAAAAACCAACTAACACCTATGGAAGAAAATCTAGCTGTTGTAAGTAATTCTGTCAGGTTTAAAGGGATGAGTGGTAAAATAATCCTTAGATTCACTTACATCCAAATGAGAGCCCCTAATAAAAACAAACAGGAAATTCTACTTGCGAACCGCTGCAGAATGTGTGTGTGTGTGCTTGATAGATACTATTGAGCTCTCCATGTGCCAAAAAAAAACAGAACAGTTCCCTCCTATGCTTTGACTGGAAAGAAAATAACAGAAACTTCAGAGTAGCAGCTTATTTGTTTAGCTGTAAAAATATTCTGTTGCAACGAATTCTAAATTTCTGTTATCACACTTCTTAAATCATTTCTCCATATTAATCTTCCTTCTGATTTCAAACTAATAGTAATTATCTTTTTTTTGTATTTCAGTAATAAAGACAATACTCTTCGATTGAGACATTTTGTCGAAGCTGTTCAAACTTCTTCACTTCGTAAACTCCGTAATTAAGCTTCTAGAACTTCCATTTACAGGAATAAGCACTGTCAAAATTCTAAATATACTTTAATTTCTGGAATAAAGTATAACATTCTACCTCTAAGTGTTTTGTAAAAATACTATATTTCATATTAAGTATTGGTGTCTATAGCTAACGAACCACTTAATTTGCTAAGTATTTCTCAGTCAGAGAACTTCAAGACAGTTACGTTGACAACTATCAGAGTAAGCTTGGTAACAGTTATTTCCCACTCCCTGTGTTTGATACTGATTCAGTAAATAAAGCTTCGGTTATCAATCTTTCTCTCTAACTTGTTAGGTGAGATTTCAGCATTAACACTCTATTCTAATTGATTGTGTGTAATTATTATGAATTTTTACACCTGAGCTATGCTGTAGAATCAATTTTAAACCAATTTCAATCTACCATTTCAGATTATTCTAAATTTTGTTCACTGATAACCTTATTTACCCTAGCTGAACAACATGTGTAATTGTAATATTTTAGTATGCTTCACACCATTTTGGAATCCATACTAGGTTTGGGGTACATTAGGGGTTCTATTTGTTTACCCCAGTTAACTGACCTCCTATCAGTAAACTAAAGCATGCTGAATTTTAATTTCAACTTGTTATTCAGATAAATTTACGCTGTAAAGTGCAGACGACAATCCATCAAAATAACCTGAATTCTGCTCAAAATGGTTATTTTAGACATTTTGATATTCAGTACCACTGTCGACAGCATAAATTTAAATGAATCGAATCAAGGTAAGGGAAGCAAGGTAGTAAATATAAAGTACTTTTGTGTTTTGGAACATACCTGTCAAATACTGATAATCGAAAATAATTCTAATATTAAAATACATTAACAGTTGTACACATGCTTAAATTAAAATGGAAAATGTTATGTTATAAATAGAATTTCTTAAATAGTAACATACAAATATAGATAATCTTGGATAAAATATTGGTTTACAAATGAATGGAACTCTGACTATGTGCGAAGACATATATATATATATATGCGCTTTTTCAGCTCATCAATATAGAACCACATAGATAAAACTGTCCTTTCTGGAAAAGAAATTTACACCTACTCCCATTGTAGTATCTGAATGACATTCAAGAAAAGGAAAGATCCTCATGAAATTAAACGAGTTATTAAGATGAGCAATACAATTATCGGTTAACAAAATCTATGAAAGTAAACAATTCGCATGATGATTTCGAATTCAGTCATAGCGTGAAGCAAATTTAACACACGGAAAGCATAATAAATCCTACTTAAATTATACTGAAGCAGAAAGGTGTTATGATAATCTAAATGAATAAACTAAAGACACACCAAATGTGCAGAAACTATCACCATCAAAACTGGTTGCATCATTAGAAATTCGGGAGATTCTATTCATAGGCGTGCATTATATCATGAAAGTAACTGATTCCTGTGGCCAGACATACAATAAGCTTAGATAATCATGTAATGTAGGTATTATTTGGCTTGGAGACAAACGTTAAGATAGAAAATAAAATAGAATTGATTAAGTGAATTGGATGACGTAATACAGTTGAGTAGAATTCAGAGCAGGTCAGGTTGACAACAGTGTTAATGAGTGGTGGTTACAATTAAATAAGGGTGGGGTTAGAGAATAATACAGTTGAAAGTAAGTAAGTTAATCGGGTGACGTAACATAGTTGACTAGAAATTGGACGTGGGTCAAGTTAGCAACATTGTTAATGAGGGTAGAAATTACAAAAGGGTGGGTAGAGAATAATATAAATGAAGATGTGAAATAATAAAATGATAAAATAAAATGAAAAAGACAAAATAATACAATTAGTAAGACTGAAATTAAGAAAGATTACGTCCATTGTAGATTTAATGAATGAACGAATTTCTTTTGTATGCAGAGTTCAGGATTTAACAGATGAATTGCCATTGCTTCTGCGATGTGGAGAAGTTTGATCCGTACACTTTTAGCAAGATTGCCTTGTATTCTGTAGATAACTTTGAAGTTTGTTTCTGGTTTGACTTGGTGTCCAGAGTCGATGTAATTTCTACCCTTATTAACAATGTTGCTAACTTGACCCACGTCCAATTTCTAGTCAACTATGTTACGTCACCCGATTAACTTACTTACTTTCAACTGTATTATTCTCTAACCCCACCCTTATTTAATTGTAACCACCACTCATTAACACTGTTGTCAACCTGACCTGCTCTGAATTCTACTCAACTGTATTACGTCATCCAATTCACTCAATCAATTCTATTTTATTTTCTATCTTAATGTTTGTCTCCAAGCCAAATAATACTTACATTACATAATTATCTAAACTTTATAAATCTAATGTACACACACACACAAACAAATTTGTATATATATGTGATTGTACAGCTCAGTGAATGAATTCGCCGAAAAGAGTCTCTTCGCTGAACGCCTTCTTTTCTTTTATATGACTGAATGGGGATTTTCAAGATACAATAAGCTGTCATGACTATTGAAAAATGATGCTGATTTCATGTAGGTTACTGAAATATCAACTAAAATTATTAGGCCTCTCATCAGGAAGTGCTTCGTGCTAATTTATTGGACACAGATAATCGGGACATTGCTTAATACAAGTAACTCGTGCAAATATTTGCATAATACTTTAATCTGTTATAAATTGGTGGGTGGCAGCTAGCAGTAGAATCCAGGATAAGCATTTCTTCCTATTTGAGAGTCATCTGCTGGATGGATCTGCATTTCCTAGTGGTGTTCCTTTGAGTCCAAGTACTTCATTCCAGTCAGTCAACTAGAAAGTCCAAATTTAATTAAATAATTACTAATACCCGTTGCACAACAGGCAACTAGCTGTCATGGCCCAAGTGGTTTAGTGGACAGTGCTTTCGCATTCTAAACTGCAGGTACTGGGTTCGAGCCCCAATGGGAAAACCACCAGTCACTGAGGAATGCAGGTGTATCCAGGTGAAGTGCCTGGAATAGGACGAAATGCTCATCCTGGATTCCACTGCTAGTCCCCATCCACCAATTTGCTTTAATTTGTTGTTTGACATTATGTATAGCATGTTTATATGTGGAATATTATCTCCAACCCTATTCCCTATTCAGCAATGAACTCTGTCAAATTAACGGTCTAGTATTTCTAACTCAACTAAATTGGGTTATTTTCACTCGAATAAGACGCACTTACACAGCTAATACATTAATTCACGGAAAATACCCATCCAGACATGAATGTACGAAGAAACAGTTTAGCGAAGAGTTTGTTTTCGGCAAATTCATTCAATTAGCTACACAATCACAATGATATATAATTATTTTGTGTGTGTACATTAGGATTGTCAAACCAAAATAAAAATTTGTTGGGGTTATTGTTTACGTCATCAAAACGTTTCGAAAATGTGATGAATAGTCAGATTGTAACTAGGGGGGGGTGGAGATTGATAAGTGTTGACAATGATTGCGTAATATGAAAGACACCCAGAAAAATAGGGTGTTAATGAAGTAGCATGCAGACAAGTGTCTAAAATATATTATTTAGAAGAGAAAATAAAGGGTTGATTAAGAAAAAGATGTCGTTAAGACGTCATGCAAGCATCTAGAAAAAGCCTTATTACGCAACCCTTGTCAGTAATTATCAATCTTCACCCCCACCCTAGTTACAATTTTGACTATTCATCACATTTTCGAAACGTTTTGATGACGTCAACAATAACCCCCAACAAATTTTTGTTTTCGTTTGACAATCCTAATGTACACACATACACACAAAATAGTTATTTATCACTGTCCTCATACCCGACCTGCTGTACCCTACTGGTCACGACTTCTCACTAGAGAACCCCTGAATAAGGCCAGTCGCTAGTGAGCATCTCACTGAGATTCAAGTATTGGTCTGAAGGGATTTGATTGATTGGTGATGATGAAATCCTGTAACCAATCAATCAAATTCCTACAAACCAATACTTGAATATATCGTTGTGCAGCTATGTGAATAACTTCGCCGAAAAGAGACTCTTCGCTGAACTTTTTGTTCTTATAATACATTAATATTTGAGTTATGACTTATAGAGAACTTGAATATATTGATATATTTTGAAGTGACACATTTGAACAAATAGCCTGTAGCTGTCAGAATAATCAGAAGGAAAGTTAGTGTATATGTATTCTACCAATAAAAGTAACAAATCAGTGAAAAGTGATCTTAAGTTTGCTACATTTTGTTCTCATACACTGGCATCTGCCCTGCCTACACACTTTTTGGCCATGGACATTTCCGTATCACTGAATACAAAACATCGATTAATCAATTGATGCAGAGCGATAACGTTGTCTTTACTGTATTCCAATTTCGGTGATCAGATAGTCATGCAACAGACAAACAGAAAACAATAACCAGCCAACAATTCACCAAATGTTAACCAGCTGGTTAATGGCAGTTAAAGATCATTGTTCATTAGGCTACAGGAAGAAGGGAAAACCAGTGAAAGAAATACCATCTTAATAATCCGATTGGCTGATCTGGCTTACTGTACAGCTTCGCTTATTCTTTTTCTAATATATGGGTATCTTATACAATTGATGGCTAGCAGTGAAATCTAGGATGCGCATTTCGTCCTATTTGGGACTCGTCATCTGGATGTACCTGTACTTCTCACTGAGTGATGATGATGATGATGATAGGTATCTTAGTTTGGTATGATGCACTAGTTACCTATCTGATAAATATCAGCGTGACAAATAATACAGTCAATTTAGTATTTCATACACTTCGGCTTGATAAAGTTATATAAAATAGAAGGGACAGACTACGATGAATTCCTGGTATCTTTCGTCTTCCCCACGGCTATATGAACAGTTATGCGAACGGAACCATTAAAAATTAAAGTTTAATTCTTTTAAAAGTATTAGTTCCCTATTTCAGTAAAAGCTATTTAAGACAGTCGGAAACCTCGTCCAGTTTATTAACTCGTTATTTTTCTAACCAGTCTCAAAAATATATTAAAGATACAAGAGAT